TGTTTACATTCCTAATCTTACTATTTTCAATCAATTGACAATTTTTATTTTTTTGTTTATTTTAAGAATAAAATGTCTTGTATAAAGCATTATTTTAAACATTTACTTAAAACTTTAAAGTTTTAAATATGAGTGATTAAAGGCATAGGCGTAGAGTTTTAGTTTTCTCCGAGGGGCATAAACTATTTTGTAAGAGTTGAATATCTATAATAAGAAATAAAGAGTTTTTTCATTGGGCATAAAAATGTAATTTATTTTCTTAAGTAAAATGTGCTTTTGCGAAAGAAGGCACGCATTTTAAACTCGGGAATCAGCGGAATTCAGTGAGAAAGGACACTATCATGGTATACAAGCTCATTCAAAACTGATTCAAAATTATTTAGTTGAATATTCTTGAATTTTGCATAATCCACAAATATATCGCAATAGAGTTGTAGTCTTCTATAATCTTCACAGTCATCTTTGTAAAAAGCCTCAACAAATTCAACTTCTAAGCACTGACCAATGATACATTTTTCTACATTTGTTAAATGCTCAGTGGTCTCAGTCGGCACAAAACGAATCGCAAATCCCGTTATAACACAATCCAGACATGCATAGAAAAGCTGAGGTAGCGGTCCTCTGGAGTTGTAGCAAAGTATGGAGCTCCACTTCCAGTAAATTTTGATGTAATTTTACGTTTCCGTAGCATCTCTGGTTTGTCAAAAAAAACTACATTCTGCTGCTACAACGGCTGCATCCCATAAGAATTTGAATCGAGTATCAACCCTGACTTCTTTTAACACTTCTGTAAGCGTGTTTATGGTGTTTCTTGTTTTGCAAAAAACTGCATACCTAAAATGATTTTCAATAAACGTTTAACATTATAATTTGCTTAAAACAATATATTAAAAAAAAAACATGCCAATTGTTTTGGAGATCCACGGGCAAATGCGATGAATGATTGTACTAAATTCAAAATATTCTTGATCTCTGTTTGTTTTTCAACAGAATCTTGTGCTACCAAGTTGACATTATAAGCACGGCAGTGCACGTAAATTGCCCGCTCTTCTTTCCCTCTCATTAAAGTCTGCAATCAATAGATACTTCCAGATATGTTAGATGATGCGTCAAAATATTGGCCCTAAAAATTTTGAATCAATAGGCTAAATCATCACAAAACGTCCATCAAACAAATTAACAAAGTTGCGCTCCTGATTTTCTCGGTTTGGCAAAATCCCATAAAAAGTTTCTCAATTTTAAATTTTTCATTAATGCGCCGAATGTAGATCGAAACTTGTTCTTTAGCGAACATATCCATTGTTTCATCGGCTATCAAACTATAGAACTGTGATTCACTTATACTTTCGCATAGCTTACAAAGCGTTGCATGAACAAAGACTTGTAGGATTTCGTTTTCTATTTCAGAAGAGAGCCATTTTTACTTTTCAGGACAATTCAACCATTTCTTGAGTTCCAGAGAATCGTCTGCTCGTAGTTTGAGCAGCATGCGAAAGTTTGAATAATTTTCAACCTTTCTACAAATAGCAAGGCCTTGCGTTTCCTAATACATTAAGAAGAAACATTTGCAACTTTCGTCGTTGTTAGTTGTCCAGTAAATAAATTTAACGATTGATAATTAATCTAAATTTTTTTAAAACGAAATCGAGGAATTACCAAATAAAGAAGTGTTGTAAATATTTTTAATAAAGCCGTACGCTTATTCATCATTTCTTTGTTTTGGTGATGATTAAGCTGCTGGATAATGGTCAATTCCAGTGTAGCTGAGGCGATCATATTAAAGGACGCCCTATGGAGTTCAGATCGCTCGTCATAACCAAAGTTTTGTAACGCTTTCTTCCAATTAGAAAATCCGTTTAAAATAAAAGCTTCGTACGAATCTTTTTCTCTTGATCTACGAGGTAAAGGCATTTTCATTTGGGTAGCTTTGATGCAGGTAGAACAAAAAAAAAAATTCTTTCTCGATATTAAGTAAAACCGATTTATACTTTTCATTCCAGTTTTGTTTAAATTTTTTTCTCTTTTTCGATGGAAAAGATGGCTTGAACAACAAAGTCGTGAACAACAAGGTCCAAGCTCCTCTGTAAAAGACGGCGACTCAACAAAAGCGGTTGAATCAGTTGCATCATCTGACTGAATAAATGATAAACTTTTAAGAGTATTGAACTTATTAGCATTTTGAGATTTAGAAAATAATGCAACTGTTTCAATTTGATTTTCTTTTTTTAAAAGTATTCACTAATCTTATTCATTGTACAACTTATTACTTAAAAGTCTGTTAAAAAATTTCTTCAAAAACTTACGTTTTTTTTAATTGAAAACTTATAAATAATTAATACAAATAATACTGCCAAAGTTATCGAAGAAAATAAATACTAAACGAACGTTTAACCCACACAACTCTTTAGTTTATCTAGTTCCGTTAAGTTACGTTTTTACCGATCTCAAACTCAAACTTGAGACTCATCAGAAGCGTGGAATTTCTAAAATTCGAAAAATAATTTAAACTTTTGAAAGCTTAAACTTTTGAAAATTATTTGTATTTGCAGAAATATTACAATCATTTTTTAATTGTTATATTTATTAATGTTTAAGTATATTAAGGTTTTTATTTTATAAATATTTTTGAATACTTGGTGAATTTTTCCGGGTGAGGCAAAGCCCCAGAGACAAATTTCCGGATGGGGCTCGAGCCCCCGAGCCCCATCCGTTCTACGCCTATGATTAGAGGTGTAAGAAATTATGTAACGTTTGAGTTAAACTTTGTAGTCTCATTTTGTCAGACTTCTAAAATAAGTTTAAGAATACTTAAGACTTGAAAAATTTAAAAGACGTTTAATAATGTCAGAGTATTTTTGACGGGAAAAACCTTTGAATAAAACAAATTAATTATATAATTTGAAATGATTTATCTGAATTTATTACTTTTGAATTTTAAATAAAAAAATTCGAATAAAACCAGTATTCATTATTAAAGTTATTAGCCTCACAATTGAATCAAAAAAAAAAATTTACCATTTGTATCAGACATAAGAGCTGATAAGCTTTCTTGGAATTCAGAATACTTATGAACATGCCTGACAAAAATGTGTATCCAAATCTTGGAAAAAAACAACAAAAGCAATTAGACAATAGCAAACAAAATTAGATATACCACCATTCTTAAAAACAACAAAGTGTGCAGCACCAACAAGCACGTACTTGTGGCAAAACATGGAGGAAAAACACAATATTATTATGAAAAAGTATTTACATAAAGACAATAGGTGACGCAGGTGATTTTTTTGAATCAACTGAGGTTCAAAATAGTCGCCTGCTTTTTCATAGGTCATTTGATTTATGACAGATTTAAGACAAACTTCATGAGTAGAAACAAAATGGACATCATTTTTGAGAAACTCACAGTTATTAAATATAAAGATATTATTTATATTGTTGACAAATTTGGATAAGGTACAATAAACTTGTTACATGATAGTAGAACTCGATGCATAGTGAATGGAATGGGAAAGAAAACATTAATTTCATACGAGTGACAGTAGACCAGAAACTAGTATGTCAAATAGATATAATAGCTGGAGGAAGAGCAAATACGTCCTTTCTCAAGAAACAGTCTTATTTGTAACATAGTATTGTATTAAACAACGCGTAATTATTATAATTTAAAGTTAACCAACTACATTCCATTATTAACAAAAATTATCTAATGATATTGTTTCAAAACGTCATAAGCAATTGAAGGTTTTATTGCTTACAAACTTCCAGAATTACATTCAATTTTAGAAGATACAGACACTTTTGATATGTTTCAAAAATATGGAACTTTGATCAGTTCTTTGAACAGGGGAAGACTAAGAGAACCTTCTGACAATTTAGTCTACTTTATTTTTTATTGTTTTTTTATATTTGAAGTGACACTTGTGAATAAAGTTTCATCATTGCTGTGCAAGAAAGGATTAATTGACATTTTTATTAACTGCAATAGAAATTTTCAATTGCTTGTTCAAAGTGTTAAAAAAGTTTGCTGCATTTTGGCAAACATTTTTTTAAACAATTATTGTAAAAAACACTCTGAAGATTTTGGGAAGGAATGTTTAATAAAACAAGCAAAACTTTCAACTTCAAAATAAAATACTTTGAGTCAAAAAAGTCAAAATAATTTTAATAAAATAAAGTTAATATATTTGTTTGTTTTTATCAAAAAATTTATTATTTGTATTGCAAGTGTTAAAATAAACATATAGTTATAAAAACGAGATTTAGTCATTTTTAACTCCTTAAATTTTTATTGTAATTAACTTATTTCTAAACGTAAAAAAAATTCCTACAATATTTGCTTTCGAAATTCAATCAAAATGTTTTGTCCTAATAAAGCTCTTTATTTGTTTCTGAAGTTTGTTTACAAAAGCAAAGATAAAAAATAATTTTAACCGTAAAAAAAGTCGGACTTCGCTAATTTTACGGAAAATGAGCTGTCGCGGCCTGTTTAAGTAGGCCTTGAATGATAATAATGATAGTCAATAACCAATAATAGCTAATATATAATATTAGATACAATAAAATCTAAATATTGATAGTTAAATTTTTTTTTCAAAAGAAAATATTAATATTATTTATATGTAAAATGTATATGAATTTATTTTTAAAAATGGCAACCGAAGAAAATTATTTTAAGTTGTTTAAAAACAGATTTTTAATCCATAATTTTGAATAAAGCTAAAATTTCGACATTTGATTTAAAATAGTTGAAAAAAATTTAAAAATCTTTTTAAATTAACTTTATTTGTATTAGGATTACACAAAGGATGAACATGAAGTTTCTAAAAGTAACATATCAAAGAAAAAAAAGCGTGTCCAACGCATTTTTTTCAACGTGTCCCGTCTATATAGAGATACAAATAAATTCGAAAAACTAAAATTTTTGTTAAAACAAAAAATAATAGAAAAATTAAAATATAAATATTATTAGTTAAAACAAAAAAAAACAAAAAAACTATAAATAAAATATTCACAAATTTTTTAAGAACAATTTAAAACCTTTTTAAATTCTTCGTGCGTACAAAACGATTTTCCACGATATAAAATCATTAACTTATTTAAATTTAAACATCTAATACATTCATAAATATACTCTAAGAAGTCGATCTCTTCGCAAAGAATAATGTTTAATTCATTGCAGACTTGAAACCAAGGAAGGAAATTTTCAAAATCTTTTTTTGATATTAAATAATGACGGATGTCTATCGCTAAAACTTCGATCTTTTGATTTGGTACCCACTTGTCAATTTTAAACGGGCAATATAAGTAGACATGACAAACGTTCATGGAACATTTAATAATGATATCTTTTTCATCTTCTGTGAAAACATCTTTGTATATTAATAACCTAGAAAACCTCACACTTGAATCCATGAAACAACTTACAAAATATTTTTCACAGAAAATTTCATAAGAAGTTTTACCATCACGTATTTTAATATACCATTTTCGTTTATCGATTGACGGTTTAATAAGATCTGTAATAGATGCCTGGGATTCATAAAAACATTCAATGAATATTTTCTGAGATAACTTTTCATCTGAATAATCTGAATATATATATATATATATATATATATATATATATATATATATATATATATATATATATATATATATATATATATATATCATATATATATATATATATATATATATATATACTATATATATATATATATATATATATACATATATATATATATATATATATATATATATATATATATATATATATATATATATATATATATATATATATATATATATATATATATATATATATATATATATATATAATAGATAATTTGAAAAAAAAAAAAGTGAAATTCGGAAAATAAATACAAAAATAAACATTTTTATATTACAATCTGAAATGAAGATAAAAAGCTTAAAACTTGATGATCAAGAGATATCAGTGATTCACTTCAGTGATTCCTGTGATTCACTTCAGTGATTCCTGTGATTCACTTCAGTGATTCCTGTGATTCACTTCAGTGATTGCTGTGAGTCACTTCAGTGATTCCTGTGAGTCACTTCAGTGATTCCTGTGAGTCACTTCAGTGATTCCAGTGATTCACTTCAGTGATTCGTGTGAGTCACAGGATAGTCATAAATACGATAAACATTTCCCTGTCAACAGCAATGATGAAACTCAAGGCATCATCATCTTTAAAAAAAAAAGTTTTTAGTTTACCCTGTCAAAACTTAAGCACCTTAGGGATCGTCCATATATTACGTAACGCGAAATTAAACTTATAGACAAAAGACAAAGTATTAAAAGTTTTCCATCACAAAGTCTTTAATTAAACCAAGTTTATAAACAACTTTTCTAGTCTAGCAAAAACCGCAACGCTAAAGAGCAAAATGATCCCTACTTATATTTTTTACATAATTTTTGCCTTGCGTAATTTATAGACGATCCCTTAAGCCATGTTGTATGTTAAACTACAACCTGATGGAAAATCAATTAAGTTTTGAATCATATTCCAATAAAAATGAGTAAAATTAAGATATGGACATCTGACTGCAATTCCATAATAAAAAAAATAAAAAACACACAACTATTTAACTTCCCCCCTTCCCCTTTCTCCCTTGATTTTTTTGTAATCAAGAAAAAATTAGGAGAGGGTAGGAGAAGGAGGCGAAAATTAACTGTTTTATTTGTGTTGCAAACACGAACAAAACAAAGTTAATTTTCCTTCAGGCCATTTTTAGCATTTTAACTAATACAATTCTTAAGAAACACATACAAATCCTTAAAACTAAGAAACAATAAGAACATAGCCTGACTCGATTATTTTTGGCCTATTTTTAGTAAACACAAATATATATATATATATATATATATATATATATATATATATATATATATATATATATAAGATTACTTAGTTTGACATGCTACTTTAGGTTCGAATTGCTAAAACACTGCAGTTATGTTTTGAATAAAATAAAAAAAACTTGAAATTTTTTCAATCAAGTTATAAGCCATGCTTTAACATTAAACTCAAAAGCACTTTATATTGTACAAAAGCACTTTATATTGTACAAAAGCACTTTATATTGTACAAAAGCACTTTATATTGCACAAAAGCACTTTATATTGCACAAAAGCACTTTATATTGCACAAAAGCACTTTATATTGCACAAAAGCACTTTATATTGTACAAAAGCACTTTATATTGCACAAAAGCACTTTATATTGCACAAAAGCACTTTATATTGTACTCTATTTGTCGTTATTTTACATAACCTTTTTAAAATACTTTTGTTAAATCTTGATACAATGGATTACATTTAAAAACAATCAAATGCTACTGCTGCAGATGCTGAAAAGTATAGTTTACTTTTAAAAGTATAGTTTACTTTTAATAGCAAGAAGCCAAATAACTTATCTAATTTTCTTATATCATGCAAAGTATAATTTACATTAGCTAGTTTGATAAATAAATTTTGCGCTGAAATGCACTGAATAAAACTTTTACTGAAATTACATTCCTATGCACTGAAAAAATTTTTTTTACTTATTTATTATTTAATTACTTATTTTGAAAATACTAAAATGAACTTATTATGGAACACAACAATCTGGCAGTTAAAGATACTCAATAATTTAAAGTTTACTTCAACATCACCACAGACTGCACTGCTGATTTGTGCCATAGCAAAAAAAAAAAATCACTTTCTATTTTTTTAAATTTAAACAACAATCAGCAGTCTCCTATTAGAGAAAAATTCTACTAATTTACAATACACACTAATTTACAACTGTAAACACTAATTTACAATAGTACACACTAATGTACAATATTACTCACAAATGTACAATATTACTCACAAATGTACAATATTACACACTAATGTGCAATATTATACACTAATGTACAATAATACACACTAATGTACATTACTACAAACTATTGTGCAATAATACACACTAATGTAAAATAATACACACTAATGTAAAATATACACACTAATGTGCAATATTACACACTAATGTACAGTAGTACACACAAATGTACAATATTACTCACAAATGTACAATATTACACACTAATGTGCAATATTATACACTAATGTACAATAATACACACTAATGTACATTACTACACACTAATGTGCAATAATACACACTAATGTAAAATAATACACACTAATGTGCAAAATTATACAACTAATGTACAGTAGTACACACTAATGTACAATATTTTTCACTAATGTAAAATAGTACACACTCAAGTACAATAGTACACACTAATGCACAAATTAATGTATATTATATTTAGCATAATAATGGGTCTAATATGCAAAATATAAAACCCTATTGATAAATTAAATATAAGTTTTATATTAATTCTTTGAAATTGATTTAGATAGCACAGGATTATTGGAACTAAATAAAATTTGTGAATCAAGATCACTTTGATATAAATAATCCTTCTGGCAGCCATCCAAAAAATATACATGTTTTTTTTTTAAGATGTCTTGGGTTTCATCACTGCTATTAATCTGAAAATATTTTTTGTCATTATGACTTTTCTATGACAAAATGCTTTGACATCAATTGCTCATAACTATGAATGATGACAACTAAATATTCATAGAATTTAAAATAAATTTGTTGGTCTAGTAAAAAAACAACTTACAAATCAATCCTCTAGGAAGCAAATCTAGAAAAAAAAAAATTTTTTTATTGAAAATTTTATTGCACAAAAATAAGTATAAATTAAACATAAATTTAACATTTATCTAAAAACTTGAAATATTTGTTTATCTAAAAACATCAGACTTAAAACATTTATCTAAAAACATTAGACTTGAAACATTTATGGATTTAAAAACATCAGAATTGAAACATTTATCTAAAAACATCAGACTTGAAACATTTATGGATTTAAAAACATCAGAATTGAAACATTTTTATCTAAAAACATCAGACTTGAAACATTTATTTAATAACATCAGACTTGAAACATCTCTCAAACTTGAAATTTTTACAAAAATTTTTTAAATTGAAGGAAACATTTTTTTTATTTTTTAAACCTGTTGATAACAAATATAATGAATTTATTCCTAATAACTAGCCGAGTTTTAAACTTTTACATACTTTTAACTATTTTAGATTTTTTAGTTTTTTCTGGGAAAATGAAAATTACTTTAAATAATATAAACAAAGAACTCACCACATACATGAACCAAAGATATCATTTCGGTGTTTGAATTCGTTAAGTTTGCTAGAAATTTCAAAAAGCTATTTTTCTTTTTATTTAATAATCCACAGATCATTGTTAAACAACTGTTCAGTTTTTTGTCTTCAACAATCTCTTTCCAACTAAGAAAGTTGTAAGCATACACAGAAGCGCAAAACTCCATTATTGTCATGTGTACAAACTGATAATAAAAACCTAAGTGGGTTTCAATCCTCTCAATAAAACCGAAAAGCCTATTTTCAACTTCGTCAAAGTCGTTGATAAAAACTTTAATTTCCTCTTCAGAAAAAACTACCTTATTATTTTTAAACAAACAATACGCAATCTTACAAACATTTAAAATGTATTTTTTTGTGCTTTCATTTTCTATCATCTTATAAATTGGTTCATTTCTTTTGTCAATATGCCTTTGAAAAAAGTATAAAAAAATACTTCCATACAAATCTGTTGTGGTAACAAACAAATTGCTACCATCTAATAGATCTATTTTATTCAATTCACTTACAATTGTACAAATGGAAGATAAAAAAAAAGGCACAGATGCCATGGCTTTTGTAATTGAAGATTCTTTTAAAACTCTAAATATTTCTTCTTTTGATTTAACAAAATTACTTTCTATATAATCATTTATTCCTTTGTCATTGAATCCTAAAACTTGAACGGTCAACTGGTCATTACAATTAAATTTATTTTGGTAAAGGGAAATAGCTGAAACTCTTCCTGCAATAACTGTTTTGTATTTTTTAATCTCTGCAAAAATATTTACAATATTATATTTAGAATGGGAACCTTTAATTAACTCATCTAAATACATAAACTCATCTAGACCATCAATTATAAACATTATGTTATCAGGTTCACAAACATTAAAGATATCAAAATCCTTTAAAATATCTTTGTAGAAAACATTAAGCAGTTCAATTAAATTTGAAACATTTTGGTACTGATTTAACATACTGCATTCTAAATAAAACAAAAAACTAACATTTGTCCATATTAAATTGTTTGACCAATCAAGTAAACATTTTCGTAGCAGCCACGTTTTACCAATTCCAGCAATACCTGATATTAGGATTGAAGATGATTTTTCCACAAATACTTTATCAAATGAAATTGGAATATAGCTGATTTGTTTTCTAAAAAATTGGTCTCGTTCAACCAAATGCATAATATCTTTTTCAATTTCTATTGCATCAACAATACACAGTTCAATAAATTTATCTGCAAGCATGACTTTAGAGGGTTTTACTAATGGTGGCTGAAGTTCATCAATAATCTCATATCTTTTAAGATAAAGCTTTTTTAGTGTGACACTCCTATTTTGTTGAACATTATCTAAATAGTTAAAAAAAAACCTTTGTTTTATCTAAGTAAATTAATAAGTAAATTACCTATCATAAAATTGATTTTTTATAAAACTTATTAATTAAACCTTAAAAATCAAATGACAGTAAACTATTATAACATAGCTATTAAAAAATCAAACGCCAGTAAATTATCATAACAAATATTAAATAATCATAAAATTAGTTTTCCTATAAACCTATTATTAAAATCTTAAAAAAACAAATGACTTAAAATCAAATAAGTTAAAATTTCTGTACAATTGAAGCTTAAATTGGAACAATAAAAATTCTTAAATTAGCAACCGCAAGATTGTTGATTGTAAAGCAGAAATAGAGAACATTAATAAGATCAAGGTTGACAACACAATACTTAAATTACATTTTTTCACTTGAAATAAAAAAAAAAAAAAAAAAATTTACAGCTAAAAAGATCATAATTATTATAATTACTTATCAATGCAAAATATTGGTGCAAAGTGGATATTGGTGCAAAGTGGATATTTTGCAGTGAAACTAACACATTAAACAATCATGTGTTATATGGATGAAATATCATGTGTTGTATGGATGAAATATTATGTGTTGTATGGATGAAATATTATGTGTTGTATGGATGAAATATTATGTGTTGTATGGATGAAATATTATGTGTTGTATGGATGAAATATTATGTGTTGTATGGATGAAATATTATGTGTTGTATGGATGAAATATCATGTGTTGTATGGATGAAATATTATGTGTTGTATGGATGAAATATTATGTGTTATATGGATGAAATATTATGTGTTGTATGGATGAAATATTATGTGTTATATGGATGAAATATTATGTGTTGTATGGATGAAATATTATGTGTTGTATGGATGAAATATTATGTGTTGTATGGATGAAATATTATGTGTTGTATGGATGATATATCATGTGTTGCATGAATGATATATCTTACATGCTTTATATTAAAATCATATGTAATTCAATCATAATTATTTGAGAGTACGATACTAAAGTTGCTAAATGAGCACAAATACAACTTTTTGAAGATGACAAGTGCATAAGCAAAAAATTGCTGCATGTTTAAAAATAACTGCTCATGTTAACATTCAGCGCAACAATTCAACAGATGATGTAAATCCAGAAAAATCCTGTGAAAAACCAAGAATTAGCAATCTAAAAACTGTTAATATGATATGTTGTTTAACTGTGAAAGACATACAGGTTTCAAGCAAACAAATTCTTACTCAACTGTCTCTTAGTGTAAATGTTAGTGCATAGTTTGAAGAAGCCAAGGAATTAAATCTTCGATTGTACTGTGCTGCATTCAATGACTTTCTAAAAAAGACGTTAGTGATTGTCACAAATTAGACAGTTAAAATTTGGAAGCATGTCACGTTCTTAGACAAAGCCTAAGTTAAGCGTTTTGCAGCACACAAAGTCAATGTTTGCCAGCCACTGAGCTCACATTTCAATCCCTGATACATTGCACCTTTTGAACTAACAGAAATTTTAAAGAATTATGTGCTTTTAAATTAAAAATTTGTTTTAAATTAAAAATTTTGATATTTTCAAATTCAACAAAGCATCTTACCATCAGACAAAAGTTGTCAAGAAATTAGGTCCAAGAAAATGCATTAAATATTCTTGCCCAGCAGTCAGGCAATTTATACTATATTTTATATTATACTTTATATTTAACTTAACTCTAGTAGTGTTATAGAAAAAATTTGACAAACATTGTTTAACTAAAGAGAATCATTGGGAGGAAATATTTGATCATACCAATAGCCTTTAGCATAAACCTTATTATAGTTTTCCAATCTAGTGAGATATTCAATAATCATTAAAAAAAAATTATTGAAAACAATGGTAAAAAAATGGTGCAAAAAATGAACTTTGCCAACCTTTAAAATAACGCATATTGCCATGTAATGAAAATAAGTATATACGCCATAGCCACCCACATCAATTATTAAGAATTTGCCATTTTGTTAATTTTCAGTTTTTGATAAAAATTAAAAGCATTCAGCAAAATTTATTTTTTTGGAATTTCTGATGTTTAAAAGACATGTGAATGTAAAAAAAATTTTAAACCAAGTTTTTCTATAGAAAAATATAAGTTTTTTTTTTTTTTTTATTTAAGGCTAAGAGGGGTTAACTACTTAAGGCTGAGAGGGGTTGCTACAGTCAATAGTCAATACTTTTTTTTTTAAATCATTTTTTACAACCTTCGTGTGTGTATATATATATATATATATATATATATATATTAGTACTCTAAGTTAATAGTAGTAGTAGTTTTATTTCACTTTTGTTTTTAAAGTAGTTTTATTTAGTTACTAGGCTTTTCTGAACTTGAAAAAGCGCATTCACAAAATCCATAGATTGAACTCATTTATTTCCTATTTCCGGAATGTGGAAAGTATAAATAGAAGTTATCCCTTAGAAGTTTTTACTAAGGTTTCTCTATTTTATTCTATTACTATGGTTTTACTAAGGTTTTACTATGGTTTACTAAGGTTTACTATTTACTATGGTTTTACTAAGGTTTCTCTATTTTATTCTATTACTCTAATTAATTATAGAAAGTGAGATCACAGTTTGTTTGGTGTCTGAAGTATATTTATTTTGAATTCTATTTAAAAAGAGAAAATGGTGAAAAAAAAAAAAAAAAAGCTTGTATTTTTAAAATGCCAGCCTTTGTTTATTTTATAAATTTTGGCGCTAAATATAAAAATAAGAACTTTTTAAAATTAAATAAATAATGAAACTCTATTTAATTATATAATTAAATAAAAAATTTAATTCATGAACGGTAATAAATATATTTATTTTTTAAAATTAACAATAAATCATTTTTAGCTTTAAGTACGCAAATAGTTTAGTTAAAAGTATAATAGATATTTATCTTTGCGTAATCAAGTCAGCTCTTTGCGTAATCAAGTCAGCTCATTTAGCAAACAGTAATCTTTAATTTTAAAACTTTTTTTTCTGTGAAAAGTAATTAACTGGGACAGGTCTTAATGAGCTCCGGGTGGTTGGAAATTGATAAAATAGATAAAAATTATATAAATTTTTATGACTTTCCAATGGAAAGTGATTGGAAAGTGTATTTTTAAATACTTTCCACTTTCCAGAAATTGGATATAGATTGAATTCAATCTATTCCCACTTCCCAGAAAGTTAGAAATTCATTAGAACTTAATTTTTTTAATTTCACAATTGTTTAATTGAAACAATTTATTTTTTATCATAAAAACATGGGTCATTTAAAAAATTTCCACTTTTTCAGAAGGAAAGTGAAATCAAACACTCCTAATAGAAAATAGTTTAGCAAATTATATATTACATTTTTTATTAAATGGATCACTCTTTCTAATTTTTTCAATCAGACTATTTTGTTTGCTACTATTTTATGTTTATGACTTTTTTTAGCAGTTTTGTTTTTATTAAGCTTATTTTTAACTTTTTAGAAAAAAATATATATGGTATGGATGAATAAAAAATGTATATGGTATGGATGAATAAAAAATATATATGGTATGGATGAATAAAAAATGTATATGGTATGGATGAATAAAAAATGTATATGGTATGGATGAATAAAAAATGTATATGGTATGGATGAATAAAAAATGTATATGGTATGGATGAATAAAAAATGTATATGGTATGGATGAATAAAAAATGTATATGGTATGGATGAATAAAAAATGTATATGGTATGGATGAATAAAAAATGTATATGGTATGGATGAATAAAAAATTTGGTATGGATGAGTCCTAACTATTTTTTACTTTTTTGCTCTAAAAGAGTTATTTGAATACTTTATCATAAAATTGTTTATTACTACTTTTAAATTTATTTATTAAAAAAAAAAAAAAGTTTTAAGAAGTCCTAAATTAATATAATTCAATATACATTGAATGCTAACATTTCATACCTTGCTTATTTTATTATATTGATTATTATTTTATTGACATTTCTGTGATGTTATTACCTGTTTTTCTTTTTAAGAAAATTTGGAAAGTTTAATTTAAGTTTTGAGTAAAGACTGACATTTTGTTGTTTGTAAAGGTTATGAGGTTGTTTGTTAAGGTTAAATTTTGTTATGAGGATTGCAGTTCTTTTATTTGTTTTTTTGTTCTTTATTCAATAAGTATTTGATTTAAATTACATGTGATTATAATTTGATATTTTATTACGAGATATGCATCTTTCTATATGAATATATATGATATCTTTTAAAATTTTGTCAAGTCATTTTAAAATTTTTTGTTTGCGCAATTCAAGTTATATATGTTTATAGTTTACATATATGTTTATATGTTTATAGTTTACATATATGTTTATATGTTTGTAGTTTACATATATGTTTATATTATGATCAAAGTTAAAAAGTTTTTGATAAATATATTTGGTAGTATGTGTTAAACAATTGTTTTATAAATGTGTTTTTATAATAGTATGAAATGTATTTTATCTAATGTGTATATGATTGTTATATGAGGTGTTTTTATATGTTATTTAAAGTTAAATAAATGTATTGTGTTTTATAGTTAGTATTATGTTGTTTCCATGTTTTCAAAGTGGTGTGACTTGGCAACCTTGCCAGTCAAATGGTATTACTGCTTTAGGTCTAGCCTTCATTACAACTATTCTGGAAACACATAATAATGTTTTCTAATAATATTTTGCGTAATGTTGTTACATTTCGCTTACCTTTATGCTGGTACGTTGTCTGGGTCTTTTACATTAATGTCTATTGTTAAAAATTAATAGGTACTTTCATTATTGGAACTCACTTCTCGCTGCTTTTAGTCATTCACTAAAAACTATTCAAGACATCTCAATTTGATTTTTTAGAACCATGATGTACCGAAATAAATTATTTTCTAAAAGCTAACATGAAATAACAATATTAAACAACTACTACTCTGGTATCACAACAGCTTATCTCTATCAGGTACATGATTTTTAATTCATATATG